GGTGATATCACAACAGACCTAACTGAAATTAAAAGAATCATAACAGAATACTATGAAAAATTGTACTCTAACAAATTTGAAAACCTAGAGGAAATATACAAATTTCTAGAAGCTCACTGCCTACCTAAACTAACACAAACAGAGATAGAACAGCTGAATAAACCCATAACAAAAGAAGAGATAGAAAACACTATGACAGCAAAAAGAGGGACTCTAGGTGATGGGAACCCCATAACCCATTACAGCGAAATGTAGATCCAAAGAATGGGGCCTAGAGTTAGGAAGCTAAGGTTTGTCACTTCTGATTTAGGCCTGTTGGGATCAACCACCCCTTTGGCCCAGCTTAATCAGTCTGCTGAAGGTTGCCCTGAGACTTTACAAAGCACATCAGAAGTGAGAGAGTCACAGGAGGGCTGGCATATGAGCGAACAGAGTTTACAACTATCCTCTACCTGTCCTGAAAAAAAAATTTTGTTGCCAGCCACTTACTAAACTCTGTGGTTGTTCATCTGGATGTCCTCTAGGGATGAGAGAGCAGCTCTATCTGTTTCACTGACCTATGTACAGCCTCTTCTGTAGAACAAACATAAATTGACAATGTGATTTCCTGGTAGATTCTTGTCATATGCTTTGCACAAAGTAAGAGCTCAATAAATGTTAGTTATTATTATTACTATTTTTTTAAACTGGATTAGGGTGTTTACTTTTTACTCTGGATTAAATTAAAATGATGAAATATTGCAAAGCTTCTGAAATCAGACAGTAGTTAGTCTAAGAATTTATGAATAAATAGGAGTTTGACGACATGCGTATATAAATAACTACAAAACAAAGCAGAGTATGGTTAGGTACCAATAGCAGTTTCAGACAATGCTTTCCTAAATTTCAAAGTATAGAAGGATCATGTCTGAGGACTAGAAGAGACTTGATGGGAAGATGGCATTAGAAGAGAGTTTTTGTTGCTGTAGTTTATTTCATCAGTTAATCAAATTACATAGGTATGTAGTTTAAGAATTACATAGTTTTAGAAGCCTTGTTATTAAAAATTGGCACCTCCTATTCCTCACTATTTTTCCACTTTTCCTCCCTAGAGGTAATCACTTTAACTCTTTTAGATGAATCTTTTGTTATTTATCTCTCTATACATATGACAAAATGAGCCCTGGTGGCACAGTGGTTAAGAGTTTGGCTGCTAACCAAAAGGTCAGCAGTTCAAATCTACCAGCTGCTCCTTGGAAACCCTATGAGGCAGTTCTACGCTCTCCTATAGGGTCGCTATAGTTTGGAATGGACTTGAAGGCAGTGGGTTTTTTTTTGGTTTATATAACAAAATGTCTATATTGTTCTTTCCTGATTTTTCAGTTGTACATAGTATCTATTAAGTTCCCACATTGGAAGAAGAGGCTTTAGCTCTCTTTAATATAAATTCTCGCCCTCACCGCTCTCCCCTCTATCCTTCCATGAAGTTCCATATATGTAATTTAGAATTTAATGCTTACATTATCATGATAACAAAACTGCTATTTGCAGTTGAGCTCCATAGTATGTTGTGATTATGTTTTCTTTTCCTGACAAAGGGTTTGTTTTTCTGGGAGTTCATTTTTGTTTTTTTCTCCCTTGGCTTAATTTTTCTAGGTCAGCATTGTCCAGAAGACCTTTCTACTATGATGGAAATGTTCTATATCTGCGCTGATCAACATGGTAGACGCTAGTCACATATGGCTATTGAACATTCGAAATGTGGCTAGGGCGGCTGCACAACTGATATTTGGATTTTTTATTTAATTGAAATTTAAACAGCCATACGAGGCTAATGGCTACATTAGTGGCCAGCACAGGTCTAGACAATTATCACTAACTACTGCAAATTTTCTTTCTAAATCTTCTCTCAGTAGTTTCAAAGACATCCGGGAGCATTCTATCATTCCACTGATTTTGTTTTCTTAAATCTGTCAGGGAGACTTTTGATCCAATCTGGACTGGTTCCCTCTGTAACTGTGCTCAGGTCTCATCTTCACTGATATACTAAGGGCTTGCCTCTTCTCTCTCCTGAATGAAAACTCACGTCTCTTTCCTCTTTCTTGATTAACTTTCTTGTTTTGATGGAAGACATCCTCCCAAAGTTTCCTGAGGAAGGTTACGTAGGAGGTAAAATTTTAACATCTGGTATATCTGAAAATATCTTTATTCTATCCTCACACTTGATTGATGTTTGGCTGGGTATAAAATTTTAGGTGAAGAACCATGCTCCCTGATCATTTTGAAGTCACTGATACGTTGTAGTTTACCAATAATGCTAGTGAGAAGTCCGAAGCCATTCTAATTCTTCATATATGACCTATTTTTTTAATCTCCCTGAAAGTTTGTAGACTTCTTCTTTGCCCCAGAATTCTGAAATTTCACAGCCTTTGGTGTGGGTCTATTTTGACTCATTATTCAAAGCTCTCAGTGGTCCCTTTCAGTCTGGAAACTCATATACAGCAGTTCTGGGAAACTTTCTTGACTTGTTTTTATGAATTCTCCTCTTCTGTTTTCCTTCTGGAATTCCTGTTGTTCAGGTGTTGGATCACCAGGATTGATCCTCTAATTTTCCATATTTCTTCCATTTTTTAATCTCTTCATCTTTTGCCTTTTCTTCCCAGCTTTTCTATTGGGTGTTCTTTTCTGCTATCATATTTTTTAATTCTGCAAATTCTTTTGAGTTACCTGAATGTTTCTTTTGAAGTATCATTTTCATAGATTTAATATCTCCTCTTCCAAAAACCAAATCTATTGCTGTCAAGTTGATTCTGACTCATAGTGATCCTATAGGACAGAGTAGAACTGCTTTCCAAGGAACACTTGGTGGATTCAGACTGCTGGTTAGCAGCCATAGCTCTTAACCACTACGCCACCAGGGTTTCCAATATCTCCTCTTAGCTCTCCAAAAATATT